AAGAATATTTCTAGCCTCGCTATTTATAGTCAAAAGCTGGAAAGAGCCCAAATTCCAAACAATGACAGAATGAAAGAGAAAAACTAGAACACAGGAATGGGCAAGGCCCCCTGCCTCATACCTTACATAACGCTGCATATAAATTCAAATTGGGCAGCTCTAATCCAGGCCATGGAAGTTGGGGTCGTGGTTATTCCTGTTGGGTGGCAAGAATAAGGAGAGCTGGGCGGTGGCAGCATACACCTTTAATCCCAGCACGAGAGGCACAGCCAGGCAGATCTCTGTGAGTTTAAGGCCAGCCTGGTCTACAGAGCGAGATCCAGGACAGGCACCAAAACTATACAGAGAAACCCTGTCTCGGAAAACAAAACAGAACAGGGAGGAGCAAAAGTGACGGCTTCAGAGACAGCTTTCATCTGTTCGTTTTGCCTATATGTGCACACGTATGTGTGTGTGGGTGTGTGCAGGTGTATGTGCACTTGTGTATGGAGGCCAGCAACCAGCACTGAGTGTTATCCTCAGGATGGCCATCTACTCTCTCTCCACAATCTGGAGCTCACCAGTTAGTCTGGACTGACTTGCAGGCAAGCCCCTGAGAGCTTCTTGTCTTCACCTCCCCATCTCTTAGATTACAAGAGCCTGCACCACGTCTGGGTTCCGAAGGTGGAGCACAAGTCCTCATGTTTGCAAGGTACAACTTGGTTTCATCATCTAAGTCATCCCACTACCCTTCCATCCCCAAACATCATTCTCTTTCTTAATGGAGGTGGAGAACATGGAGGTAAATTCGTGATTTGTATCTTTCTGCATGGATGTTACGTTCCAATAAAACTTTTACTAACACACACACACACACACACACACACACACACACACACACACACACACAAAGTAATAAGTGATGTGCCACATGACTATCCCCACAACTAAATTTCTAAAAATATCTGTAAATATGTGGTGTTTGATGCTGTCCTTTCTCAGACAATAATTATGAAACAGAGCAAACTGTTTGTAAGACCACCTCTCACCTCTGACAACGCCACACCACTGGCAGATAGGAAGGGCCTCGGTGAGGAGAAGAGGAGCAAGCATCAGAAGCTTTTGAACGTAGCTTCTGACCATTGCCCCACTATAATGGGAATAAAGTCAACACGGGGAGAATACCTGATCTCCTGAGTCTTCAAAGTCAGCCCTATCAACTTACCAATGGTTACACAGCAGAAGAACATATTTCTTTCTCACCCCCAACAACCATTAACTACCCATGGCTCCTCAGAGAGAGGCAGAGTGTCATGCACCCCTCCCTCCTCCATGATGGAATGTTAACAACACTCCACCCCTCCCTCCCTCCCTCCCTCCCTCCCTCCCTCCTGCTCTTACATTCCTTCCACTCCCTCATCAGTGACGTTCCCTGAGTCTTGTCAGGGTCCTGTTTATGGCTGATCATTCTACCGTTATTAAATCTTGGCACTTGGACCAGTTTTTAGTCTCTGCACACACCTCTGCCCGCTGCAGAAAGAAGCTCCCGTCATAAGCCTGATGGCAGCACTAACCTATAAGCATAAATATCAACACTTAGAGGGCAAGTCGACGGGCACAGCATGTCCCTTAGCAAAAGAACACCAACAGTTTCCTACTCGGGCTGGTGGCCTCCCTGACCACACGCCGTTGACAAGGTTTATAGTATCAGATGTGAATTCTTGCCCTGGAGTGAACCTCAAATCTGTTTGGGATGTGACTGGTTACCCTGTGGTTGCCTTAAAGAAAGGAAACTGGGAGACTAACGTGGGATATGAACTACTTTTTTATTCTTTTGAATTTGCTATCTATGTGAAAATAATTATTTACTTTTAAAATAGTGTCTTCGGGAGAATAATACAACCTAGATTTTTTTTAAAAAAAAATTTGAAATTAGGGAAATAAGGATGAAAAACACAACTTGGCTACATAATAAAAACTGCTAAAAGCGTGTGCTCAGATTTTCATGGATAAGTGGCCTTTTTGGCTTTCCATCAGGGCAGTAAATACCTAGATAACCAACTAAAAGACAGAGGGGCAATTCGGCTCACAGTTCTGAAGGTCTCCATTCGTGATTGGCCTTGTGGCTTTTGGACCAGTAGAGATACAGTACATCTTGGCAGGAAGAATGTGGTAGAGAAAGCTACTCACCTCAGAGCCAGGATGGGAACAAGAGGGAGAGAAAGAGGCGGTGGGTTCACAGTACCCTTTGAAGCTGTGTCCTTCCCTCCTCAATAACCAAGATCTCCCACAAGGCTTCACCTCTTTGTGGGTTTGTGTTTCTGCAGAAGTACATTAGAATCCAATCTGAAAATGCGGTCTGCCCTTTCAGGAGGAACCTGAATCGTTTTACGGGAAGAGATAAGCAGAAGAGAGGAAATAAAACCGAGCGATGGGGATGAATATCAGCAAAACATCAGGCTGCACATATAATGATGCTCACTATTCTGGACACTAGCCAAAAAGAAAAAAGAAAGAATCAATTTCAATGAAAAGAAGTGATGGAGAGGGAAGGAAGCACTTTCCAGGGTAGGTAGATACCCACACCAGCCATTTCTTTCTTTGTGACATTTTAGTGAGTGTGCACGTGCCACGGCCCGGGGGTGGTAAGAGAACAACTTGCAGGAGTCGGTTCTCCCCTCCCAACATGTGGGTCCTGGGGACTGAACTCAGGTCGTCAGGCTTGGTGAGCTGATCTTTTACCAGCTCAGCCAGCCAGCCAGCCCCCAACGACTTGTTATTTAGTCAGCGTTTAGAGGCTTTGGGCAAAGCTGGCAACCAAGAAGCATTTTTTTTTTTTTTTTTTGTAACAAGAATGTTTAACACGAATTATGAAATCATTCTTTGGCCCTCTAATTTTACTTTGAAATATAAAACTCCCATGTGCCTATCGGTGCTCCTTATAGTCACAGCAAAACACGAAGCACGCTGAGACATTATTTTCTAAAATTAAGCTGTACAGACCACGGTAGTCCTAACATGAGACATAACATTCTATTACAACCATAACATCAAGTAATAGAGAAGCACTTGTTGCAATTTTATAGTCTACTTAGAGAGCTTATCAAAGGCAGAAATGAACCCGGAGCAATCGAGTTTATAATGCAGTGTTCATTAGGTTTTGTGCAAATGGTTGTTTAAATTCCCAGAGGACAGTCTGTCCATCTGGCAGGCGTGACAGCAGAGCGAGGAGGACCAGATGGGCCCCGAAATGGGTCATTCCTGGCAGAGCGAAGAATGCTTATGGTAGGATTGATTTTTGATGAACCACCTGAGGTACCCGTGGCAGACCGTCCACAGCCCCATGGGACCAGTCCCCTGAGCGAGAGTTAAAGAATTAAAGGCCATCTGGTGGCCAAATGAGAACATGACAGCTCAGATGATTCTAAGGGTGAGTGGATGGAAAAATAAACAGGTTCTTCAATTCGGTCAGCTTCATTTGCACACAAAAGCATCCTAACTGGCTCCCGGTCGGCCATAAATATCTCCTACAAATCCTGTTACGTCCTCAACATCATTGCCGGGGTCCCAGCCATGCTGTTACTCTCAATCAACACAATTTAGCTCCCTGAAAATGCTATGTGAAGAATACATCACGACTGTATGTGAATAAATGATCAAAACCAGGCACTCAGAGGGGCTGGGGAGAGCGTTCCGTGGGTACAGTGCTTGCTTTATAAGCTTGAGAATCTGAGTTCAGAACCCAAGCCCCCATAGAAAAGCTGGCTGTGGTGGTATGTGCCTGTAATCCCAGCATCAGGAGGCAGAGACAGGAGAATCCTTAGGGCTTTTTAGCCAGTCTGTCTAGTCAATCGGTGAGCTCCTGTCCATGAGGGACCCTGTCTCAGACAATGGTAGAGGAAGATACTCACTAGTCTCTGGTCTCCACAAATGTGTGCATGGACATACACACCTATATGCACACACACACACACACACACACACACACACACACACACCCCTACAGAGACTTGGTAGTTAGTGAAAATCATCCCTTTGCTCCAGTACCATCTGTCAGTCTTCTGCAGAGATGCAGAGGCAATGAACGGCTCCATACAAAGGCAAACACGCAGTATGTTTCACTAACACTTCACGAGAAGTTCATTCATTACAGAACACCAGTCATCATTCAATCTTCTTGATTAGTCTTTGGAATAGTTTGGATGATTAAAGAGCAGCATTTAAATTCAGAACTATTTTTTTCATAGAATTATAATTAGTGCCTTCCACGGAGAGACCTGTCTGACTCCCACGTGACAAGTCCCAGTGTGACATTAACAAGACACTAAAAAGAGTAGGGAAGTCGCTTTGAGAAAGGATTTCTGGGTGACAACACCTCTCTCCTTGGGCTTTGATTTTGATTTTGACTTCCCCTTCTGCTGACTCGGTCGGTGGACCATTCTTCACCTATCTGCCATTGAAACGAGCAGATTGTAGCAGTTCAAAGCTATCATTGTCTTCTTTTCCCACTCATGTAAGCCAGCACGTTTGTGTAAAGGAGCATCGAAAGCAACAGTTTGTCCAGCTAGACTGCAGGATGCAAACCGCAGAATGGTTTCCAGGAAGCTCCAGTCTTTGGGAAGTCCCAAGATGGATGCACTCTCCCACCTCTCTGTGCTCTGTAGCACCTGCAGACTCAGTCATGGGGAGCCCTTTGGTCCTTGGTCTGTTTCTCCAAACTGACCCATTTGGGCCTAGTTAGAACCACGGTAAACCCTCTTTACTGGACCCATTCGCCGCAGTGCTCCCCAGGCTCGCTTGGCCTAGAGTAGTTGAAATGTGTAACGTGTCCATGAAAGGACGGTTAGACACAGTGACACTCCCACTCCACCCCCTCAGGAACGTCTTCAGAAAAACGTATGACATGTGTCTAAGAAATCCTTCCACCTAATTGAATCTTGACACTCTGTTCCTGCGTTTCTTCCTCTGCTTGTCAGCGATGAAGCATCAGAAAATTGCAACATCCCCAGGAGTGGGCAAACCGACAGCAAGTCTCATCAGGAAGTGTGTGCCAGGATGCGGTGTTCCCGAGAGGAAACGCACCACTTCTGGGTACGCATCATTATCCAGATGTGGTGGTGCACACCCGTGATCCCAGCTCTTGGGAGGCTGAGGAAAGAGAATCAAGAGTTCCAGAGCAGCCTGGGCTATACAGCAAGACTTTGTCTCAAAAAAATAAAAATGAAATCAGATCTTCCACATCTATCTTCTGTATATTCTTTATGGAAGTAGGAAAAAGACACATAGCTCTGTGTTAGTTTAGTTTCAAAGAAAATGCGTGTGCAGTGTGTGTGTGTGTGTGTGTACACGCCATGACATGTGTGGTCAGAAGACAGCCTCACGGGGGTCAGACCTTACCTTCCTCCTTACAGGAGGGCTGCTTTTTCATTCTTGCTTCTGTCAGTCTAGTTGGAACACGGGCTTTTAGAATTCTCTTGTCTCTACCTCCCATCTCAGCATTGGAATACTGAGATTACAGGAGTGTGTGCTGATGTGTGGCTTATTTCAGCTCCTGGTTCCAGGCTCCAGTCCACCATGGCAGGGAACTCACCGAGGCAGGACTGGAGGAAGTGTTCATATGGCATCTATGATCAGGAACAGTGAATGGATGCTCGATGGTGCTCAGCTCGCTCTTTCCATTTCCTTCAGTCCAGGGCTCTGTAAACAGAGGAGGAGTTTTCCTGTCCCGACCACCCAGTCCCACATAAACACACAAAAAAATTGTATTAATTACGAAATGTTCAGCCAATAGCTCAGGATTATTATTAAATAGCTCTTATTTTTTAAATTAACCCATTTCTATTAATCTATGTATTGCACATGGCCCGTGGCTTTACCTGTCCTCTGACATCTTGTTTCTTAGGTGGTTCGCTTGTGTCTCTCCCACCTCTGCCCTTCTTCATCCCAGTTCTCAGTTTGATTGTCCCGCCTAATTTTATCCTGCCTTGCTATAGGCCAAACAGCTTTATTATTAACCAATGGGAGTAATACATATTCACAGTGTACAGAAGGATCATCCCACAGCAGTGCTCAGCCTCTGAAATCATGCCACCCATATCCAGGGTATGTCTTCCCATTTTAGTTAACCCACCTTTAAAAATCCTTCACAGCCCAAAGACCAACCTAATCCAGACATTCCCTCACTGAGACTCCCTTCCAGTTCAACACTCAAAACTAATGTCCATTTCCACTTGAATTTTAACAAATATTCACAAAACACCTATTACATAATAGGACTGAAGAAAAGACCAAAGACTAAGAAGACATTTTGTTCTGTTTTAGGCAAATCTCATGTAGTACAGGCTGCCCTGGAATTCACCATTTAGAAAAGGATGACTTTGAACTGTTGATCCTCCTGCCTACGCCTCCCAAGCTCCGGAGCGCTGGGATCACAGGCACACACCACCACACACAGGTGGAAAATGGAAAATTTGTCTGTAAGATGTAGTGGGAACTGGGACTAAGGAAAGTCTCATGTAAATCAGTGATGTGAAAGAGCTCGGAAAGCCCAGAACAACCAGCCTGAACGCACACACGGGCAACCAGGGCCAGACTGGAGAAGGAAAACCAGGTGAGCCTGTAGCTTCTGAGCCAGATCTTTTAAAAGAGTCGTTCTGTGGAGAGTTCGTTGCACAACTAGAGACACAAAGGCAGGGCTGAACACAAGAGGAGACAGAGGGGAGCCAAGGTCCCAACTCCCTGGGTTGACGGGTTGAGTCAGACAGTGGGGGGGGGGGGCGGGGAGCAACTTTTCCTGGGCACCTGTGCGCTATCTAAGGCCTTCCTTTTTCTGTCTAATCTAGTGGATCAGGTATCCGATTCAGGAGACAAATCCATTGACATTCATCGTTAATTTATGGGCTGTGAGATCTACGTTCCTCGTTCCTCAGCTGCTACACGGCTTTATAGGAAGCTCAAATGTTTCTCAGTTGTGAGAAATGGGAAATTAAATCTTTTTTTATTTTTTTCCTTTCTTTTTTTTTGAAGCCAGAGTCTCATTTTGTAGCCAACACTGCCATACTAGCCTGCAACTCGCCATATCGCATGGGCTGGCCTAGAACTCACAGCAATCCTCCCGCCTCAGTTTTCTGAACCACATCTAACCAACTCTTTGTTTAAATTTTATTTTATTTTACTCTCATTATTGTGTGTGCAGAAGCCAGCAGACAGCTTTTGGGATTCTGCCTGCTCCTTCCACAGTGGGGCTGGGGGATCCTAACTCAGGTTGTCAGGCTTGTGTGACAGGGGCTTTTACCACTGAGCCGTCTTGCTGCCTCTGTTCTGTTGTTGTTGTTGTTGTTTAAGAAGGCAGATCTAAGCTGCCTGTGTTGTCTTTTTTTTTTTTTTTTTTTTTGGTTTTTCGAGACAGGGTTTCTCTGTGTAGCTTTGCGCCTTTCCTGGAGCTCACTTGGTAGCCCAGGCTGGCCTCGAACTCACAAAGATCCGCCTGGCTCTGCCTCCCGAGTGCTGGGATTAAAGGCGTGCGCCACCACGCCCGGCTCTGTGTTGTCTTATACCTGTAATTTCCAGAACTCAGGAGGCTCAGGCAGGAGGATTGCCATTAGGTTGAAACTACCTGGCCCACATTGCAAGTACCAGGGCGACAAGGAATAGACTAAAACTTTGTCGAAAGAAAGAAAGAAAGAAAGAAAGAAAGAAAGAAAGAAAGAAAGAAAGAAAGAAAGAAAGAAAGAAAGAAAGAAAGAAAGAAAGAAAGAAAGAAGAGGGGGAGGGGAGGGAGGGGGGAGGAAGGAAGGAAGGAAAAAGTCAGGTTTGTTTTGAGGTTTAGTACAGTTTTTACAAGTATTCTAGTCATAGGACTTTGGTAGTTTAACTGAGGGAAGTTCAGATTTCAAACCCAATTGCTATTTAGAACCCTCCGCTATGGAGAAATTTAAGGGAAAGGCTGGGGAATGAGCTGTGAGTTCGGGTTTGACGCAGCTTTGGGTGACAGATAGAGAAGGCTGGCATCTTTTCTCCAAGCGCTCAGCAAACGCTGAGTTTAGTCACTAAGCTGGCTGGCGGGGCACCACCGTTGCGCTGTGTTTATGAGAGTGTGCTGGCCACAGCTGAGGCCACCGCCGCCAGCCGAGTCTGGCTGATATTCCACGTAGTCATTTATGACGCCCATAACAAATGCTAGGCGGGCTTTAGGGCCAATAATGATCTGGGCAGACACAAACGAAAACAAAAAGATTAGTCAATCTTGACTCATAAAGCACAAAGTGAGAACAGTTAAACAAAAGCTCACCGAGGAAGACAGGAAAAGAATTGAGTCTTCCAGGTGTGGTGGCTCAAACCTGTAATCCCCGTACCTGGGCGGCTGAGGCAGGAGGATTGTGGCAAGTCTGAGTTCAGCCTGGGTTACACGGTGAGTTCCAGGCCCCAGGCAACAGTGTGAGACCCTGTTTCAAAACCAAGACAAAGAAAGGAAGGAAAGGGGGTTGTAAAGGCCTCAGAAGTCCGACCTTGCTTTTGGGAAGGGGAAGACGGCTATGTATCTTCTGTCAAAAACACGTGGTGGAAAGTAACAATGAGCGTTATCAGTGCCCAGGAAGCCCCCACATGGCGCCTCTCTGGCAGGTTACTGCAATGCTGGAAAAGAAAGCATGCAAGGAAATTGTATCCTAAGCAAATTGCTAACCGCCCCCCCCCACCCGAATACAGGCAGTTGATAAAGGATAACTCCATCATATTTCATCAGTTCCATTTCCCCATGCCAGAAGACAGTTTTTCTTCAGTACCAGAGGATTCAGCTCCCTCATAGGGCTTTGGTGAGGTCAAGGAGCAGGAACAGCAGGTCTAAACTAGAAGGCATGTTCGGGCCTTTCTGGCTTCTAGGTCAGTCTCTGCTCATCTTGCTATGAACTGCCTGAGACCCACAGTAATAGAGGTTCATATCAGTCTGGGATGCACGAGAGACACTGGCTTTGAAAATGTCCCTGATGGCTGGGGAACCTCCTACATATCCATCCATCCATCCATCCGCCCATCCGTTCTCCTCCCCACACCCACCTCTATCAAACCCAGAGGTAAACAAGTGCTCTACCACTGAGGAGCATCCCCGGCTTACACAAAGCCTTTTCATTGGCCTCGTTCTTGGGGAAATGTTGGCTCTAATTCCCACAGCTACACATGGTATGGACCCCTTTTGACACCATTACGTCACCTTGAAGGGAGAGCCAAAGAGAGCCGCAATCACTTTTAGTGGGGTTCTTGTTTGTTTTTACCGAACGTCTTTCAAACTCAGTTTTAAACACGTCTCACGAGAAACTCTCTGCAGTCGCCTGTGTCACGCCCAGGTCACCACCAGCTTTACACCGTGGATCCCGAGCATACAGATCAAAGGAAAGACTGTGGACGGTCTAGGAACTCTCCTCCCCCCGCAGAAACCACAGTCCGGATAAATCTTTACCCGGAAAGGAAGCATCAACTTTGTCTGAAAAGCAGAATGGCCTCATGGCGTGAGGGTTCTCTCAGATTCCACTTCCTCTGTAATTGCCGAACACAGCTGCCCAAATCTCCAAGCACTGGCTTTAAAACTGAATTAACAGCTGGCACACAGGCGCATACCTGTAAGCCCAGCTATGAAGTCAGAGGGCTTGAGGCCAGCCTGAACAACATAGCGATAACCCACTTCCAAATAGTGTTCTACCAACACTATGATGAGGCCAGCAGAAGGTGTGATTGGTGTGTTTTCCTGAGGATTATGCAAAACTATAAGTGCTTTTGGGGTTATTGATGTTGTTGCTATTGTTTTTTGTTTTGTTTTGTTTTTGTTTTTGTTTTTTGTTTTTAGCCTTTCCTAGAAGGAAGTAGGATGAGTTTACTGGAAACCTGAGTCTGAAGTGCTTGCCTATGGGGCTGGGTTGGTTAGAATGTCTTCTATAGGAATCTGTGGTATTGTATTCCCCCAAATATTGTGCATGCTAATGAATTTATCTGGGGCCAGAGACAGAGCCGCCACAATATTAAACATAAAGGATAGGCAGTGGTAGCACATGCCTTTAATCCTAGCATTCCAGAGGCAGAAATCCATGTGTTCAAGGATACAGGCAGGCATGGTGACTCATCATGTCTTTAATCCCAGAAAGCAAGCCTTTAATCCCAGGGAGTGGTGGTAGAAAGCAGAAAGGTATATAAGGCATGAGGACCAGAAACTAGAAGCATTTGACTGGTTAAGCATTTGGCTGGTTAAGCATTTGGCTGGTTAAGCATTTGGCTGGTTAAGCATTTGGCTGGTTAAGCATTCAGGCTTTTGAGCAGCAATTCAGCTGAGACCCATTCTGGATGAGGACTCAGAGGCCTCCAGTCTGAGGAGACAAGACCAGCTGAGGATCCAGTGAGGTGAGGTAGCTGTGGCTTGTTCTGTCTCTCTGATCTACCAGCATTGACCCCAATAACTGGCCTTGGGTTTGATTTTATTAATAAGAACTTTTTAAGATTCCTGCTACAGGAATCTTCAAGAAAAGCAACTCAGGAGTTAGAGTTACAGTTCAGTAGAAGAGAATTTACCTAAGATGCACAAAGCCTTGGGTCCAATCTCCAACAGTGAGGAAAGCAAGAAAGAGCAAGAAAGAACAAGAGAGAGAGAAAGACACACACACACACACACACACACACACACACACACACACACACACACACACAGATTTTTT